ACATTTAAAATAAGATACGTTAAGAACGGTGACAAATAGGAGTGAAGAATGAGAATTGGATATTTATTGGATACGACGTCGGTACTTCTCTTAAGCAAAATTGCTCGAACACGTCTATTAAAAATTTTTGAGGCGTAGAGAAGGTGGCGAAACTAATTCCTTGGAAGCGTACCTCACCCCAGCTCGTCCCTCTTCTTTTTTCTCCTCCCCTTTCCTTTTTCTCCCTCAATTCTCATCTTCCTTTCTCTTTTTCCTTTCTTCTTCATATTACAGAGGATTGATACGTTAAGAAATTAATGAATTTCATTTCCGAAGAAAAACCGAAGTAACAGAATTTGTGAAATCATACAAAATTACTAAGTTTTTAAAATAGTATTAACTAGCGGTTTACGATTAATGAAAAAGCACAAAAGCTATTCAAGCAGAATTATGTATCAAAACTTTTGAAGTCAATAAAATATTCTTTATCACTTTTTCTCATTTTTTTAATATTTAAAAAATTTCTAAACTTTTCAAATTAATGAAGATCTTACAGTTAGACAAAAAGATTCTGATATTTAGTGAAAATCTGAATTTCATTTCATTCAATTTCTGTGAAATATTCATCATTAGGAACATGAATAAGGGCACAAAAATAGATGTGGTACTCAGTAATTAAAATGTTCATGTTCATCAATGTTACTATCTTATCGGAACTAGTCGACTGGCACAGTGATCGTACAATATCATCTCTGTTTGTTTAAATTTTAATTTTTACCTATTTTAACGATAGTATTTAATCACTATTGATATGATCATTATGCGAAGGTCATTTGTTGAAGGATTTAAAACAGCATAGTTCCGAAAAGAGAAAAAGAGATCTTAATATATCTTAATATATATGTATATATATATTTTAAGAAGAAACTCCTTGAAATGTGTGCATTAAATCCTCTCTTTCCTGTTTTTTCCATTGGATATTCAATTTTGTGTGGCTTCAAGGAAAAGAAAAGAAGGAATGAGGGAGGGATATTTTTACTCTTCATATTCTGTTTTAAAATTAAAGTAATCTTCCGCTTGCGAAAGTTTCGCTTCTTATTTAGCATCAACTTTTATTGAAATTTTCGAACTTATAACCTATCATCGCCTTGCTGAATTTATAGCTACGGCAGATGTATTCATGTCCTCATACATTTTTCAAATTTTGCTAACAGCTTACAATTTTTGCCGTACATTTTGAAATGATAAAAAAATTTGCAATAAAATTCATAAATCATCTTTGCCATTCTTAGAAATGGGACACGAATGATCGATTAACATATCCCTTAGCGAGACTGAAAAGTTTCATATTGCTGCCCGATGTAAAAACAGCGCAAAGTTCCGGACGCAAACTTTCTTTTACCAAAAGATCATAGTTGACAAAAGGCAGGAGAATGTGTTGGCTTACCTTGTCATGTGTCCACACCTGATGCGTATCCTTCCTGAATAGGAAGCAGCCACTTGTAGAAGATAGTGATATTCACAGGGAAGTATTTCACTGTTTGTTTAGCTTCGTAAACACGGAAGATTGGGAACGGTATTGATGAACCGGCATACATTAACATTTCAGAGTGGTCACGTTGGCTGTGCGAGGGTTTGGCTGTTTTATTTGTTGCATTTTCGTAAATGACTTTGTATTTGGCAGTGGATTCATCCTTATCAATGCGATTACCTGTTAACGACAATAGTGAAATATCGAGGCGGGTAATTGCATGTCAGCTGGCTTTACAAACTCTCCAGAAGGTGCAGGCCTTGGATATGGATCGTAAGATTAGATTGGTCTGTTTAATTTATTCCGGATTTCATAGATTCTTTTAGATTTGTTTTAAATCTTTTTAAGTTGCTCATATCTTACAAAAGATTCATGGGTTAACTTGTGACAAAAGGAATGTTATTGGCTGGTTTTGCACCGTGCACGATACACTGTTCCGGATACGGGCGATTGGAGCAAAGTTATTCTGAAAGAGTTCAAAATTAGGAGGAAACTGAATGAATGAAAAAAAGAAACATGGAGCAGTTGCATTTTAGGTTGATTTCTCACACAATTCAAAAATTATATCATGCGACATTCGAAACATTGAAGATGCTGAAAAAAATTTGAATTGGTTTGTGTTTTCTTAGGTTTTACATGAAACTGAACGACTGTTCCTTGCATTTGCCTGGGCTAAGGATCTGCGCTGAAATTTTGAAATTTTTTTTTATTTTGGGCAAGATGGAAATATAGAATTACTAAATTACTTAGTCTCTAAATTAGCACGTTTTGTCTGGACTGGAGATTTTTTATCAACAAGCACAAAAGCCCAATCTTCTCAATAAATTGGAAATTACATATCAATTTCAAAATTTTGATAAGAATCTTTTTTTGAGAATTTTTAAGCTTGTTTATAAATTGGAAATTACATATCAATTTCAAAATTTTGATAAGAATCTTTTTTTTCGAGAATTTTTTAAGTTTGTTTATAAATGGGAAATTACATATCAATTTCAAAATTTTGATAAGAATCTTGCAGCATAGGTGTATCTGCCTCAGCTGACCTAATTTCGTTGTTCCTACTTATAAAGATGGAAAATGACGATGAAACTAGCAACCTTCTAGTATTCACGGATGCATGTACTTTCACTCCGGTGGGTAAGCTTTTTCATTCGTATTTATGTGATTTGATAATTTCAATGCTTTTACTTTATATGAGTTTCCAGTAACCGGGATTTGTTCCCGTAATTTAAGGAGGAAGTGAACTTGACACATCTGCCGAATTGTACGGTCAAATTTGTTTGCGTTCTGGATGAAGTTTTAGCAGACAAAAATCAGATTGCTCGACTGTGGGCTATTTCGTGTACGTTTAAGTGATCATTGTGCGTTTTTTTTTCTTTTTTTTTGCTTTATATATAAGAATAATCTTTAGTTCTTGAATAATCTTTAGCACAACCGACAGAAATTAATGATTTGAATGTGCATATTCAAAAAGTTAACTTGTCCACTCATTCTTACTAAATTCTATTATGGAGATATACACTATTATTATCTCCATAATATCAAGTTGTTTTAGTGCAGACGGAAGGTTTCAAAGAGGAATTTGAGCTTGAAAACAGTCAATCCTGGATGCCGTATTTCATATCCGATTACGATACCATAGACAGTTATAGTGATGCTCTCTCAAAAGATTTATGTCCCGTACCAACATTTTTGTTAAAATGTGGTTTATTAAAAGCATATTTCAAGGTGTGTTGTTGAACTCGAAATTGTTCTGACATCTGAATTCCATCTTTCTCTCTGAAAATCGAAGTAGTAATTTGTATCTGTTATTGATTTTAATCAATCATTTCAAATTTCAGACTCTACCATCAGTAGATAACGATGACTGGAATACAATCGTTGAAGTCATTGGTTTCGTCCCTGTAAATTATTTGGCGAATATGCCAACCACTCGACATTATTTTCTTATCTCACAGCGCAGTAAGTTCTTCTCCTAATTTTTACTTACCATTCTGCGAGTGTCTTAAAAAATCTTCCAAACTTATTAACATTTCAGATAGTGAAGATGTTCTAAACTTGTTGTGCTCCGCACTACGCTTAGAGGAAAACGTAGCCATTTGTCGCTTGAATAAAAATTTATATGGCGCATTATGCTATATTAGGTAATTTTTAGATCATTTTTTGTATTGATTTTTGAAGGAATTCACAAGAAATATCAGCATGCATCTGTGCGAGAATAAATAATTCCTCGACAGTAATATTTGGTTTTGAAAATTTTTTTGATTTAGTGCAAAGGAAGAAGACCCTTCAGTTTGTCGGCTTTCAATTGTACTGTTTCCATCCGGTCCAACGCCCGTGGCTTGGTTGCCTCCATTCACTACTATGTCTTCTCAGGTTGCATTTTTGTTGAATTTTCATATAAAGAAATCTTGTTTTGTAACATCTTTTACTTTTCTCGCGATGTTGTTGTGTAAATGGAATTGTTGCTTCAATTGGTACATGTTTATAACGTTGCAGAGCGTTGTTGATGCTGGAAATGAAGAGCAGTTGTTCTGTATCATGAATGATGGCCTTTCTAGGCCTTCATATTCTTCAGTACAAAGGACTTGTTGGTATGAGGTTCACGGATTGCAAAGTGACATTCAGAAAATTGCTCGATTACTGAAGAAAATTCCCGATAGGACATTCTTATTTTATTCGGTGCCAATATTTTTGTAAACATGGTATTTTATCGACGACACTTAATTTTTCGTAATTCTCTCGTTAATATTTGTCATTTTATGTTTTTTCAGGAATTAAATAGGATACATTCTTACTGTTGTGCCATCGGTGCTGAAGATGTTTTGGAAAAGTTAATTCAGGTTTTGGATGAAGAGAGCTCTGCACAATCACCGTTGATTATCAAACATTCCTTGTACGCGAATGAAAAACTGAGGTAATTCTTGTACTTTCGACTATCCAACTGATAAATGTAGATTTGATGAAATCGGAAATTCAAACAAATGGAGTGATAAAGTAAATAATGCAATAAGTTTTCAATGCATTAACTGGATGCGACTTTGAATAGTTTTTACAGTTATTCCTTTGTCCGCGAAGAATCCTTCAGTTATTTGAGATATTTTTTGCTGATATTGTTCGATTTCAGGATGTACGGTTTGAAGAATTCAGCAGAAATCCAACCCTTACAG